AATGAGAGTCATTGTCCAGCTCTTTGTCCCATTCCCATATAGTGAACCAAAAGAAGGTGGAAATTACTTAACAATATTATTAATGCCACATCTGAGCAAAATCTTGCTGAAGGTTATGACAAATTGATAGAACACTACATGCACAGGGAAGTTCTAGAAATTCAGACTGGATGTAGAAGAAGCTAGGCATGAAAGATAGCATTGCAGATGCCACATGGATTTGCCTTAAAGCAGAGAAAATTACAAGTGTTTTATTGACTACGCAAATGGGTTTGATGGTTTACCTCAATAACATACTATGGCTAACGTTGAGAAGAATGTGAATCCCAGAACACTTTATTGTGCCCATGTGAAACTATATCTTGACCAAGACACTGTTGTACAAAGAGAACAAGGAATGTGTGCATCAGGTCTGTATCCTTTCTACTTAACTTGCATGCAGAACAAATCATTGTTCATAGGGTCACTATGAGTTGTACTTGACCTGACAGCAGGTCCCTAATAACAATGACAAGGACAACTATTCCTTGGAAAGAGACATTATGCTTGGAAAGGTGGAGGTAAATAATGGTGAGGAAGACTTTCAAGGAAATGAATTAGCAGTGACTCTAACAGCTCAAGTATGTTAGAGATGTTTGGGATGGTATGGAAGATTAATTTTTGTGGAATTGTTATGAATTTAATCAACTTGATCGCACTTAACAAAAAGAACAACAAAATGAAAACCAGGCTAGGTGCTTAAAGAGATAATCTTTTATTATATTTTAGCTGAAATTTTACACTGAAAATTAAGTTTCCAATGCTTATACTATTTTTTTTAGTCTCATTGGTCACAATTTTTTCAGCGTGTCAATATTATCATTATTTCTGTTCTGTTTGGTCTGCTTTTATTGACCTAATATTTTTTCCTCTCCTTTCCTCTAATATTTACTTATGGGTAAGTGTTGTCCATTTGGTCTCATATAATGGATTCAGGGAATATATTACTTACAAGTAATTTTTTTTTAAGCTCATCTATCACTTGGCTAATAGATGACTTATAGAAGGGCTTCATTTTAAGTGCAAAAAGTAACTTTGGTTAATAATTTCAGAGTTTCTTTATTAGTTTAGCAGTTCTTGGTTTGGTTTTTCTGTTTTATTTTAAATTTAAATTGTGTTCAATTTTTCTCCAATTTTATCCTGGATGTTCAAATGTGCTTCTGGTCAGAATGGTCAATAGCTATATTCAGGCCTACAACTATTTCTTAGGATGTCAGGTTAGAAGAATCTGTGGTTCATGTGGACTATTAGTTTCATGGCACATTTTAATTTTATTTAGATTCCCTTGTATTTATTTTGCTCCTAACTATTGCATATCTCTAGCTGTATCTTACAAGCTCGCTAACACAATTTTAATACCCAAGATGCTACTTACTAGGATGGAAAAATTATCTTTGGAAATTATTTTATGCTTGTGGAATAATCTATATTGAGTTGAACTCTGAACTTAAACCTGAGATATCCCAGTGTTTCAAATCCACTGGTGATTTCATGGGAGAAATATTAGCAATCTCCATCTATTGTAATTTATAACCTCAGAAACCTAATAGTCACTTGTAGTGAACTCAACAGCAGTGAGTTAGTAATTATGGAGTATGGTGTCAGAAACCCTAAACATTGGTTTTTCTAGCCATTGTGGGGGCATGGTTACCAGCTACCTAAACTGAGGACACATGGTCTTGCAAATCATCAACAGCTATAGAACCAATATAAGAGAGAGAGAGAGAGCTTTCTACACAGTGAGGTACCTTGAGGATGGTGGTGGACAGAGAGTGGAGACTGTGGCATTACTGTGAAAAGACTGTGACACTACTTTGAAAAGACTGTGCCAAGATGTAACCTGCATTTTTGTTATACTTAAAGGTTTTGCTTGATGGATGATTAATGGGAAAACTGACTTACAACTTTTATGAGATAAAATTCGCTGGATGATTCAGGAAACCCAAGGCTTCTTGCATTTGTTCTGTTGAACTGAATCCAGACTGTAACTAATTGTGGAATTGTGCCTTTCTGTTCTGATTTGGGATCGCTGGACTAAGCCTGGACTTACATTGAGTGATATTCTTTGTCTCCCCTACTCTCCAACTTATTTCCCTAATAAACTCCACAACTGTGAGTAAAATCTATGAGTCAGCAAGGAATATTAGATCTAAATTTAAAAAGTGCAGGAAAATGGGGAAGGGGTTGTCATGTCTGACTGTGTAATTATTTGTACGGATTATTGATCACGAAACAGGTAGAAGTCATACTCAGCCACCCCCTATGTTGTATCTGCTCCTTTCACAGTAATTTACTAATCCCCCACCAAACAAAGTCTTAGGACACAGTAAACGAATCCCTTATTTTCTTTGGATATAAATAGAAAGCTCCTTTAACTAGAATCTCTAAGTATTTTTTACATACCTGGAAATATCTACAAATAAATAAATGTGTGTATACACATGCATACAAATAAGTGTGTGTATACACATGCTTAGAGATACACATATATAAGCACTTATTTGTGTCTACATTTCTATACATATACATGCATCTATATCAACCTATATAACAATTCATATGTTTTCATTAACATTGATGTTGGACTATAGCACATACTGACATTGTCCTTTGATCCCCTCTTGTACCTTTTAAGATGTTTCACAGACTTCTCTTTATTCTTTATTGTTGCAAAGTGTTTAATTATATATATGTAAAAGGATTTTTTTACTAATATATCCATTGATAAACTCGTTGGCTATATGTGAATAAAATCTTTTTGCTCTTGTATATAATGTTTGTTATAAACATTAATGTATTATGAACAATGCTCCACATTTTTTTGTTATGGTAATAATGCTTCTATAGTGTATATGTCAATTCATATCTCTGCTCTTATGTTTTAAGATAAATACTTAGGAGTGGGGTTGCTGAGTCATTAGACATTTCTATTTCTAGCTTTGTAATGTTTTGCAAAAAGTAGTACCATTTTACAATCCCACCAGCAATTTATGAATTCCAATCTCTTCATAATCCCACCAGCATTTGTTGTTTTTGTTGTTTTGATCATTACTAGTTTATAAGACTATGATCCTATCTTATTGTAGTTTTCATTAAGAGCTTTTGTTAGGAGAGGCTATCCCTTGAAGGATATCATGCTTAGAAAGGTGGAAAGTCTGTGGAAGAGAGGAAGTCCCTTAACAAGATGGACTGACACTGTGGTTTCAGCAGTACATTCAAGTACATCTGAGATCATACGGATTGCACAAACCAGGATAGAGTCTAGATATGTTATTCAGAGTCTCTATGAGTCATACTTCATTTAAGGGCCCTTATGGGCACAACTCGATTCTGAGTCAACAAACAAAGACAAGACTACTTAAGTAAAGGAAGCATAAATACAAAAAAGGAAACAGTGTTAATACAAGTAGGGGAAAAATCCCACTCTACATTGATTTAAATTTATTTAAAAATATTAAAAAACACCTCCTTTTCCTTAAAAGTACTTTGAGGCATTAAACTCTAAAGAATCATTTTCCTCCATAGATTTTTTTAAGAGATTAAAGGAAGATGAACAAACTAATTTTATAATTTAGGACACTTTGAAGCCCAGTAGGTAAGAGGTTGCACTGCCAAACCAAAGGCAGACAATTCAAATCTACCAGGTACTCCATGGAAGAAAGATAAAAAATCTCCTCCTATGCAATTTATGGTGTCAGAAAATCCACTCAGAAAGTTAGCTCTGAGCCTATTCCAACAACACCATAACAGATATCTAATGTATGAAATGAAGACTAAATAATTTTTAAAAAATTTATTTCTGAACAGATGCCTAAAAGATGTCATCACATATTTTTTTTTATTTTTGAAGGAAATATTTATATATATGTTCTTTTTATTTTTATCTATAATTCAAAATAAATTTTAAACATGAAATTTCATCTGACTGTAAAACCCTGTCTTTTACAAATAAAAGTAAGAATTCAGAAAAAAATTTACTACCTGTCCAGTGGTAGTGAAGTACACATATAAAGGAAAACAGCCCAAAGGATTCCAAAATAAATTAGATGGAGTAAAAGTTGTATTGAAAACTGTATTTGAATGTGTTTCTTGTTTTGACCTTGTATATCCAGTGTCAAACAAATGAAATGTTAGAGCCAGCAGAAAGCCCTTAAATATTTAAATATAAATTCAATAAATTAAGCAATATTGAAAATTTAGTTTCTTAATCCCATTATCCACATTTCAAATATTCAGTCATCACAGGTGGCCATTCTGTTCATCTTATTTCTAAATATCCACCAACAGTTTCACAGTGAAATGATGGGAAATTTCTTCCTGCATAATTAGCTGTCTCTGAAAACCTGTGGGAAGGCCAACTAGAAGTCAGTCCAATGACTTTATGGCACACAACAACATATATTATCAAACATATCCATCACTTAGGAAAGTTCAATTAAAGAATGTTTGGCTAAATATTAATCACACATGAGTTTGATATTTTCCTAATATTGAAGTTTGATTAGCAAAAAATCTAAGAAAGCTAAAATAACTGAGGTGATTCGTTTTGAAGTTGAAAGAACTTGTGATTTGAATATAGCTCTGTTTTACTGAAACAAGTTATTTAAAACTCCATTTGGGATACATATCTATGTTTACACTTTCTGTATCTGATCATCCTGGTGGAGCTACCTCCCATAAGGCTTGGTACATAAATGCAAATTAGCAGATCACACACAATTTAAAGATGGAATTCCCTTACTTTTAGCCCCCAAATTTGCTCAATGGTAGTGGGCATTGCCCCACGAGCAGTGTTCATAAGTCAAATAGGGATATATATATATTTTTTTTTTGGTAGACTATTACTTAACAAAAGTTAAAATATGTTTCTTATACAGAAATCATACATTCAGAAGCCTCCGTTTAATAGATTTCTAAAATGCTTTTGTCTTTGTAGTTATTATTAACATTCAAGTCTTTAATTACCTTTTCAGTGAAAATAGCCTGAGAATCCTTCTACGAATCTGTTGAGTCTTCACACTGTAGATAATAGGGTTCATCAGAGGTGGAAAAAGAATGTAGACATTGCCCATAAGCACAGGAACAATGGGGGAGAGATGCTTGCCAAAACGGTGCACCATTGTTAGTCCGATGACAGGAATGTAGAACACAAGGACTGCGCAGATATGGGAGACGGAGGTCTGAAAAGACTTATGCCGCTCCTCCGGGGAGGCAATTGCAAGAACTGACTTAAGAATCAGAATGTAGGAGATGAGAATTAGTATAGCATCCAGCAATAGTGTGCAGATGACCAATGTCAGGGCATAGTAATTATTGAATTTGGTGTCTGAGCAGGCTATGCGTAAAAGGTCCTGGTGCAAACAGAAAGAGTGAGAGAGGATGTGCGGTCGGCAATAGTGGAAGAACCTCAGACGGATGATGACGGGTATAATGAACAAGAAACTCCTACCTAGAATGGTGAATCCAATTTTAATAATCCTGGAATTAGTCAGGATAGATGAATAACGCAGTGGGTTGCAAATGGCAATATAGCGATCAAAGGCCATAGCAAGGAGAACAGAGGACTCCATGTAGGACAGACCATGGATGAAAAAGGACTGAGCAATGCAAGAATCCAAACTAATCTCTTGGATAAGCCCCCACAAGATCCCCAGTACTGTGTGCACTGTGGAAATGCCAATGAATAAATCTGTAAGGGCCAGCATAGCCAAGAAGTAAAACATGGGCTGATGTAGGCTTGGCTCAGTCCAGATCACATGAAGGACCATGCAATTTCCTGTAAGTACTATGGCATAGATGGAGGTGAAAGGTATAGAAAGCCATGGATATTGTTGCTCAAAGCCAGAAAATCCATTGAGCAAAAAGGAGGAAGTATTCATACCGGTACTTACTGCAGTCAGTATTTTGCAATTGAGATCCTCTTTCCAGGCTGAAGAGAATATGTCTTCAAAAGAAATGATCCAATTTAAAGGACACAAAATTTCAAGGTAAAAAGATAAACGTTAACTAACCTTGCATTATTCAATTGACAAGCTCTGTTCTTTAAAGGAATATTTCTGCCCGGGGAAAAAAATGGTCTTATCCTGGTGTCATTTAAATTCATCCATGAGCAAGTTGTGGCAATATTCTTAGAAGCTACATGTAAAAGCCGATTGGAGTAGGAAGCTGATTCTCAGATATAGTTCCTGGACCTTTCCCCACTGTATTAGTGAAAGAGGTACATTTATAAAATGAAGACTTACGGTTCTCAGAATAATTAGTATCTTCTTCTTTCCAGTTTATTGAATATTTGAAATGAAAATAATCTTTGTACTTTAAGTATGAAAAAGGTATTAAAGTTGTCACTTCCCATCCACAAAATGCTTGTTTTACTCTCTTCAAGTACGTTTTCCCATCAAATAATATTTCTTGGAGATGTTCATATTTTCTTCTGTTTGCCTGACAGACTGCAATTATTTTCTTTTGCTTCAGTCATGGACAGAGAGCAATATTTATGCATGAAATCTCAGCAAGTGGTTTCCCATAAGACTTTGACTCCCTTGAGATGTTTAACTCATCTGTGGTGTTTTAGTCACATAGAGACTGTTTGAAAACCAAAGCTGCTGATATTAGCCTAGCCATTTATTTTTAAGTCAATCAGCTAATTAGTTCTTCATTTAACACATATTTATTGAAGATATTAGTATTTTTCTCTTCTCTTTAGAATCTTTATTCTAATCTAAGAGTAAGTAAAAGGTTAAACAATTAAATATAGATGTTTAGAAACACCTCATCTTATTAGAGCAGAATTGTTTGTACCCTTCTTCCTATCTCCTTGCTTTGATAAAAAGAAAAAATATTTAAGGCCTTGAAATTTGTTGCTGGCTATCTCTGCTGATTTTGACTCATGATGAATCCATTTATATCAGAGTAGAACTACAAATGATAGAGTTTTCAAAGTTGCTACCTTCCAAAGAAACATCAGGAAGCATGCCTTCCAAGTCAGCTCTCTAGGTGTCTTTAAATTGCTATATTTTTGACTAGTGGTGTAAAATTTGCAACACCAAGGGACTTTTAAAATCTAGTTTTTAAAAATCAATAATGGTATTCCTGCTTAACCCAATTGCTCTTACATGTTAACATCTTCAGAAGCATTTTCCTCGTGATTCTACCTTTTAAACAGTCATATTTCCCACATTGAACCAAGTTACCCTCATCACAGTACCCTATTTTGCATTTATAGTATGTATTGTATGTTCATTGTGTTTTAGATCTGGGGGGAGTTTTTTGTATTCTACAGGCTGTTGGGGTTTTTCCTCAATGGAGTGCAAAATACCAGCTAATATACAGTGAACTCTTACAAAATAATTATTGAATAAATAAATTATTCATTATTTAAGAACTGTGTGATCATGTAAAATGGTAAAACCACTATGGAAGACAACCTAGTGCTTTCTCAAAAAGTTGAAAATAGAAATTCTATTTGACCCAGTCATCTCACTACTTGGAATATACCCTAAAGAAACCAGAGCCACAACTCTAACAAATGCATGGAGAACTGTGGTATTTTTTCATTTTATACTGGTTTACATACAAGTCTGGATACATTGTTTTCACACCAGATATTTCCCATTTTCTTAGTCCACCCCAACCTCCAACCATCAAATTGTGTGACCCTATGAGTAACACTATCCTCATCCCTCTGCTTCTACTCTTTTCCTCTTAGATCCTCATATACATTTTACTAGTTATTTATTTATACAGTAATGAGCTTATACAGTATTTGTGCTTATGACACTGAGTTAGTTCATGTAGCATAATACTCTCTAGTCCTTCCCAAGTTAGGTAGTGATTTATAAAATCATTGTTCCTGCATACTGTATAGTATTCCATTGTGTAAATGTACCATAATTTTTCAATCCATTCAATTGTGGTTGGACATTTGGGCTGTTTCCATGTTATTGCAATGGTGAATAACACTGCTATGAACATTGGTGAACAAGTCTTGGTTTGTGCCTCAGTTATAATTTTCTCAGGATATATTCCAAGCAGTGGAATAGTCAGAAAATATTATTTTGGTGACAGAAATGAGGTTAGATATTGAATGAGCGGATTTTGTGCATTCAATGGATTATTTATCACAAATTTTATAAAAATAGAAGGGTAACTTATAAGGTATTGATGAAAGTACAAAAGAGGAAGGTGAAGGGACATAGAAAGTGGGAAGGGGGAAATCACTGGATCGCAGAGCTTGGTGGGCAGAAAGCAGGGGTGAAGGAATTAGGATCGATCTAGTAGGGACCTGAAAAGATGGGGTGATAATGAGCATAGATCAATGGTGGTTAATTTTATAAAACACAGTGTATAGGAGTGATCACATGAAACACGATGTCAATGAAGGAATATGTGAAGCACAATGTATATGAATTTTGTGTGCAAACTAATAAAAAAAATACAAAAACGTGATTTTTCATATGGACCTCACCTAATAGATTGCACAAGAATCAGATGGACTATATCTATAGAAAGAATATTTGGAAAATCAGAAATAGATGAATTCTATCAACAATATGTGATATGAAATGATGCAATTTTGATCACTGAAAACAAAGAATTGAAGTGCTCATTGGAGAAGTTCAAAGACTACAGCCTTTAATATTGATTACACCTCAACCTTAAAATAAAAGAAAAAATCTCCATCAATGGACCAATAGGCAACATCATGATATATGGAGAAAAGAAAAAAAATTCAGTGATTTCATATTTTTTGGATCCACAATCAACAACCTTGTCACCAACAGCCAGAAAAATTAAAAGACTTATTGCGCTGGGAAAATTGACAGAGAATTCTCTAAAGTGCTAAAAAGCAACTATGTCAGTTTGAAGAGTAAAGCATACCTGATCAGAACCATAAGATTTTTAATTACTTGCTGTGCAGCTGACAGTTTGATATGACCAAAGATGACAGAAGAAGAATCTTTGAATTGCACTGTTGGAGAAGGGTGCTGAGTATTCCATGGTCTTCTAAGTTGAAAAAAAAATATGTCTTTAAAAAAGTATAGCTAGGGTGCTCCCTGGAGTCAGGGACAATGGAATTTCATACCATAATGTTGTTGGGAATGGCCATTCCTTGTAAAAGGACGTCATACTTGGAAAGGTAGAAGGTTAGGGAAGAAGAGGAAGACTCTCAATGAAATGGATTGATACAGTGACTGTAATGATGGGCTCAAGTATGTCAGAAATAGACAGGATGATATAAGATAAGACAGAGTTTGGATCTGTTCACAGAACCACTATGAGTTTAGCTAACTCAATGGCACCTGCAAAAAAAACTCTAAATGACGTGTGTGTGTGTGTGTGTGTGTGTGTGTGTGTGTAAGTGAGGGTGGACAATTACAGCAATTACCATATCTTCCTGCAGTCAAGGCTAGGATTACTCTTTTCAGTATTGCTACTTAGACTAATGAAGAGTGAAATAATATTTTCCTGCTACTGTTACTAACTCTGAAAGGAATAGTTGGAATTTAAATGACATATACAAGCTCTGACATACCAAATATGAGTAAATTACTAAATAGTTACAAATGTAGTAATATCCAGAGGTTCAGACATAATTCAGGTCAACATGCAAATATTTTCAAAGCTTTCATTATCTCATTGCCATAGAAACGCTTGTGAAACTATGCCTATCCTCTAAAGAGTCCTATAGCACATTAATTATACTTGCTTCAAGCCACCTAACTTCTTTAAATACATATACATACCCAACAAACATACATATTTATGCATAAAAGTGCACACAAAATCTTTCCTAAAAATCCTCAAAAGACAGGCATAAACTGTTTCTTCACTTCAGCCTGGGAAGGTTCTTAATTCCTGATATTATAGACCAGGGTGGCATTACTCTGGACATAATAAGCAGGATCAACATGACCTTGACCCAGAGGAATTGTAGTACTCAAACATTGGTTTCAAATATGAAAACCAGAATGCTTTTGTTCATGGTCTGTTTATTCATTCCGAAGATCCACAAGTATCTACTTTGTATTTGTCAGACACAAGGACAGGCCAATTACTTTCAACAATCTCCTCTCGACGTGCATTGACTCTGTAATGACAGCTAAGGTATTTTAATCATCAGTCAATATGCTCTAAGAACAGGAAAACTCATGAAAACAAACAAAATATATAGCCAACACCTTTTAGGAATAAGTTACTGTAACCCATTTTTTAAAGGTTGTAAGTTATCTCTAAAACGTATTAAATCAATAGGGACAGAATATTTTTACAATATATACTTAATTATTTTTATTAACAAAAGATGAGTTAATGTTTCAGCATATAATATTTACTTCCTTGGTATATAGTCTTATATATAAAGAATTTAAGTGGACAATGGTACTGATTTATAATGCATAAAAGGAAGATTAGTCAAGTGTTAAATTTAAATCTTTAGAAAGAATTTAGTTATTTTATTTTTTCACACACATACACACACATTCTATCTTCAAAAATGTGATGTTGTTGTTGTTAAATGCCATCGAGTCACTTGCAACTCATAGCGACCCTAAGTACAACAGCCCTAAACTCTGCTCTCTCCTGTGCCAATCTCACTGTCTCCAATTCATCCATCCCAATTACCCCAGACACTGAATCTATCCACCTCATAGAGGGCCTTCCCCTCCTGTGTTGTCCCTCCACCCTCCCAAGCATGATGTCCCTCTCCAAGAACCGGTCCCTCCTTACAGTATGTCTAAAGTATGTTAGATGGAGCCTTAGAATCTTTGCCTCCAAGAAGCAGCTGGTTTGACCCTTTCCAGGATGAATCTGTTTGTTTTCCTAGCAGTCCATGGTACCCTCAGTACTCTTCTCCAGCACCACAGCACAAAGGCATCAATTCTCCTTCTATCCTCCTTACTTATTTTCCAGCTCTCTGATGCATAACAAGTGATAGCAAAGACCATGGCCTGTATTAGATGCACTTTAGTCTCCAGAAGACACCATTGCTCTTCAGTACTCTGGAGAGGCTCCTAACATCA